CCTAAACCCTAAACCCTAATCCGCCAAAAAGGTTGATGGGCGAGGTCCTAGGGTATCCATATTAAGAAAAACTACCCATATGTCCAAGAATTCTCTGGTACCTCACGCAATGCAGCTTCTTGATTGTCCATCAACCGCACATTGTTCGTATGAGCCACTTGAGCGAGTCTCGCGGGCTCCATGAAAGGAGCTCTGGAAGTGGCTCATATGAGACTCCTCATAAATATGGGCTGTCGAGCTGCCCCTGACTCAGAGAGCCCAATACCTTCTGCGTTGAGTTTATGCCAGACTAGGGCGACTAGGGTTCAATGATTATGTACTCTAAGGTCTATTAACGGAGGTTCGTGTTAGTTGAGCTTTCTGGTGGCTCCCACACAATACACAACACCCGACGCTCGAAGAAGCTTCTCGGAATCTAAGGGCAGCGCATGCTGAGATCTGCTGAATCTCCGGATTTAGGGTCCAAGGGTTTAGGGTTTAGGGTTTAGGGTTTAGGGTTTAGGGTTTAGGAGCTGTTTCAGGGATCGGTGTGTTGCAGTTAGCTGTTTCTGTTTCGGAGCAGCTGGACAAGAATCATCCCTAAAACCTATAAACCCTAAACTCTGCCCCCTATATCCCCAAACCCTAAACCCTATATACCCAGACCCTACACCCTAAGCCTACACCCTACACCCTACAGTCAGAAGGCAACCACGGTCCGAGAAGTGGTAGGCTCCGTACACACTCCCAAAAGGGTCCTAAAGGCTCCTTATTATAGTTTTAGTATAACGGGCCCCAAAATCCTACTCTAATTATTAAGGCCCCTGTAGTATATGGGAGGTAACTCCCCGTACCATAGTCGTAAATCATACTTAGACAGCCTACTTTGAACTGCTTGGAAAGATCTCTCTACTCTCTAGTCCGCAGAGCCCAACACCTCTGGATTAAAGGACCTACCTACAGTCATGATTCATTGTCTTATTTGGTGCAAGCCATATTCCTTGATTAGGGTTACTGTTGCTGGGCTCTCGGGGACAACAGTCCCAAACCGGCCGTAAACCCTAAACTGCTCTTACGGAACTGCACCTTTCTCGGGGGGTTTGCCAAAGCCAGCAAAGCCCGCTTGCAGAGTGCAAATGCCTCTGCTCACTCATTTGAATGCCGCGCCCCTCTTTCATGAAACCCTTAAGCAGCCAAAGGCCCCAAACCTTGCAACCCAAGACATGAAACCCTAAAACCCTAAGCAATTAAACTCGAAAGTCCCGAACTGAGCCCTTTCTCTGCATCAGGATCTACCTGTTGGCCCCCTGGAACCTTACTTAGACCTTTTAGAGACTAGCATGAAGGTCTAGGCTTGAGGTTTCAGGGTTTTTGTGGGCTCATGAAATGGAGTCGTCGGGCTTGCCGGTTCAAACAGGCGGAACTGGAAGTTCAGGGTCGAGTTGAGGGTTACCGGCAATGCAGACAGCTGGTTCATAACCCTGACCCCTCAGGGGCTACTCAGCCCCGAAGATCCTGGTGCAATCATATGGCTTAGGGGGCGAGGCGAACGATGAGTTTTTTTTGCTGAGAGCTGCCGAGACGAAGCAGACGGCCTGGACTGCCGATTTCCACAGTATTCCTCTAGGGGAAGGACGAAGCGCGTAGACCAGTTTTTACAGGGGAGGGTTCCATAACAGAGAACCACTGTATCCACGCCTTGATTCTGTGATTGTCTTGGGCTGCGCAGATGCCGCTCAGCAATGTCGTCGCGAGTCCCGCAGAAACAAAAAGCTCAATGATGCCTTGCCTGGGGCTACCAGTTTTCATGTTCGCATTCGGATGTTTCGGGCAGTCAGACTTTTTCGAAGTTAGGATGTCGCGGGAGACTCTGCGCAAATCACTATAAACCCGAAACGCCACCCTAAACCCGAAACCCTAAACCCCAAACCCTTGCACGACTCCAGGTATTCCCAGTGGCCCGGGCATACAAGGAGGCCATTTACTCCTTCGCCGATGAGCCACAGGCTCAGTGTGATCTTGTTGGAACACAGGAGGCACACGGCATTTCCTAGGAAGGATCTTGTTGTTTTTATGTTATTACTATTTTTTTTATTATATATATATATAT